GTCGCTCAACACAATTTTTCGATTAAAATGTGGATTTTCCTCCAACTTTGCCAGCGCCAACTCACCAAATGTAAGACGTTGTGGGAGGTCGTGTGGCTTCAATTCTTGCACCAGCTACACACCCAAATCCTTTCCCAAAATTTTCCACGTAGTGGAGTAACAGAGGCCCAATTGCTGCGAACGGCGGCGAATCGACATTTCACGGTAATCACGAACACTGGCGGATACAGCCACAATATTTTCTTCGTTCCTCACTCTACGTATGCGTGTTGGTGGTTTAATTTCCAATAATGTAAACTGCATTCGATTAGTCACAAGCTTCCGAATAGCTAGCTCCCCCAGTAGGCCGACGAAACTGCCCATAAATTGTAAGAAGTGCACGATGCACTTTCTTCACAGAGCATAAATTTTGAAAATAAAATTCAATAATTTGCAAGCGTTGTTCATTCGTAAGTCGACTTATGATTAAATTATAGACCAAACTGAACAAGTTTGACAATGACACACAATGACACAACACGATTCACGCGTGATCTGTCGAAAACAATGGTATAAAAATATACCAGCAAAAAAATCACTCATTATATTCAGATTGCGGTGTTGCTAAACCTAGTTGCAATAATAACCTAGTTGCATAACATAAAAAAGCTATCAAAATACATTTCAAATAATTTTGTGATATCGATTGAGTTGTGACATTTACTCGACAAATACTGATGATAAGTTTCCACTTTTGAGTTTTATCAAGGATTTTACCGAGGTTTTACGCTAACTTGTATCAAATTATTAGATTCACCCATTAAAAAATGATGCGCGTCATTTATTTTTTCTTCATAAACGATTGTCCAAAGGAATACGATAATTGATCAGTGAGTTGTTCATTGTGAAAAAAATAAATAACCGAAATATAGCATCTGGAAAAACCAATAATTGCGAATTGCGGTATTGCCACATTGTGCAAATTATTCTTGCAATGCACGATATTAAGTACATACAAGAAAAATGCAATAATTTTCAGAAAAATTTGTTCCAGGAAACTTTTTGTTAAGGAATATTGCTAACAGAAATTTCAACATCCACGTTTCACTTTCCTTTCACAACAAATATTCGACAACCATTGAAATATATATCAATGATTTTCTGCAAGTGGAACAGAAATTCCAAACGAGTTCCAAGAATATGTTGCGTTTAGCCAAAACCCTAGGCAAGACCACTAGTAGTTTTTCATAGATTACATTCATTTCCACATCTTCGATATCCTTGAAAAGTGGACCGAAAGTATTCCTATGGTCGTTTAATTGAAACAATGAAGAACGACAAATATATTTTGACTTAGTTTACAGCATCTCAAAAATGTAGGTATGATTTAATATTTTTGTAAATTTTAATTGATCATTCAGATTTCAGTTCAAGACTCTGTGTGTAGCTTTTCAAATAATACCCATTGTGATATTGATTTATTAGTGGTCTGCGTTGTTTTCATTACACATATCTACTATTGTTTTCAATGATATATCCCATTGTTCTCGTCCTGCTTGCTCTCATAATTTTCTTATCGATACTGACAGTGTAAATCTACATGATTGGGATACTTATTAGAACAATACTTTTTTGTGTGTCATGGAAAATTCGAAATTACAGCTAACAGCCGTCAAAGAGATTTTGAACTTTTAGAAAAAAGAGATTGAACGTGTATTCACGATATGGGTGAATTATGGGTGGAACTCACTAAATCACTCATAACAAACTGACTACCTACCAACTGACAACAGAAAAGTTGTCTCAAAATACGAAATAAAAAAAAGTAAGCGTTTCGGGACGCCCGACAGAAGTGATAATTTAAACTAACTATTTAATATTGAAGTTGTATAACTTGAGAAATGCTTAGGTTATTACTTAAATTTTATGTATATTGATATGATAATCTAAAGAAAGATTATTCTTTATTAAAATATTTCATTGATTATTTTGTGTACATACATACTTATATTATAGCTATCATAAGCCAATTGCTACTTTTGTACGATTGAATTATGATACTAATAATGTACATACACATAATAACGAAATATTATATGCTTGCTGGTTAGATTTTCGTAATACTGTCAGCAGTATATGTTTTTCGCACACTAACCACTGAGTGTCTGTCCGACGAGAGAGAAGGAGCCTGCCTTTCGCTGACGTATGCTTGAGAGAAAGGTAAGCCCGACAGACTAGCGCTGTAAGGCGTTAGGTAACGAAGCGGTTTACCCTCCTACAAGAAGTTACCACTTCAAAATTGAACATGTTTCAGAAAACTAAATTTCAATTTCAATTAAAAAGAAGATACTAGAAAAAACCAACGGTTTCACAACTTTCCGCTTTTGATTTTAGGATTTGAAGAATACAATATAAAATGCTTGTGAAACTGGTCGAGAAATCAGTCAAATATCAATTAGTTGAAATATATTCCGTACCGTAAAAATATTTCGAGTAAGAAGATAAACTATAGTCTGAGAGACGAAATGTATCACGAAATTTTCATTAAAGAAATACATTTTTCATAAAAGTAACCGCAATTCGGTATTTTTTACTTCAAGAGATTTACATAAGAAAAATGTTGTTCTAAAATAATGTTGCTAATATACTACTCGTTCAATAATTACTTTGAGTTTCAACATGAGCAATATTCGTTTGTACTCCCTTCATGAATGTTTACAGATTGAAAACATATTTTTCAACATTCGTACATGATGTACCTGTAGAGTAGGGAGGGTAAGTGTAGGCCCACAGCACTTAGACCACATGTGACCCATTTTACATCCTCCCAAGTAGTTGTCTTCCTAGGTCATCGTCCATCCTGTCATTTCCAGGAAGGTGGACAGGACTCTGGGAGACATCTCCTTTATATCGGCAGATGTATTGACGATAACTCCGGACATTAGCATAGGAGATGCCTGACAGTTTTATCTTCCTGTTCACACATCCTGCATAGAGATGTGTCCACTAGCCTCATATTGTGGAGGTGTTTCCTTAGTTAACAGGGGCCAGTCAGAAATCCTACTGTTAAGCGTAGATTTTTCCTGGTCACCGCCAGATGCATCCTTTGATTTCATTCCATATCTTTAGGGATTGAGCATGGGTGTGACGTTTAGCTAGTTCCGCAATTGTCGAAGTCATCAGGCCGTAGGTGCCACGGGATCCTAAAATTCTTAGTCCAGACGCTTCCTTGGCTAAAAAGTCGACAATGCGATTACCCTTACTCCTGTCTTGCCCTTTAACCCACCTCAGGATAATGTTATTATCTACCGAGGTTTTAGCTAAATCTTGGTGGCACTCTAGTACTAGCCCTGAGGTAACACATTATCTGTTCAAGGCTAATAGGGCTTGTCTGTTATCAGACTGTTATCAGACAGGCAGATTGTTATTTTTTGTCAGAAATTCCTTTTCTGGTTATTTCTTTTGTGGCGATTGAGATACCAGCCAGTTCTGTTTGGAACACGCTGGTATTTTTTCCATTCCCCACTCAATCCTCAGGCTCAGTGATCTGGAATACACTCCACATCCTGAGCCTTCTTTGGTTTTTGAGCCATCTGTATATATGTGTATTGCATTTGTAGCATCTGACTCAGGGTACTGTTTTATTTGTATTTTGTTGGGTTTGCCATACTTCGAGGTTAAGTATTTGTTTTGAAATTATTTTTTTCCGTGTAATTCAATGTTTATATGAAAGTCGCTGTTTCAAGGTTTTTCTTCCAGTTTGTGTCTGAAAGTTACTTCTTTGCATGATCTACATATATTTTCATACAGGGTTAGGGTTACTTTGATTGCTTCCTTCCTTTCTTTCCCATAAATAATCCCTTCTAAAAATATACCCCTTTAAATTCAAATATTCCTATTGTTCTAGTGGAAAATATAAAGAATATCATGATGTACTCGATGGTATAGTAACTCTTTTTAATCATGATACCCTGGAAAAATCAAAAGTTGGCGTGAAAATTAATGAAAGTACTTTTTCAACGACCATAATACTTGTATCAGAAAAATGTTTCAGTATTTTGAGAATGTTGCACCCCAACAACCTAAATTTTCCTTCTGAAAATACAAGAAATTAATTTCAAATAACGAATTTATTGTTTGTATGCCATACAGTTAATTACGAGAATTGTATTGCCAGACTACAAAAACAATTGATAGTTTAACAGACGTTGAAATGTTAATATTTTTTTTATATGGATCACAAAATTTACGCGTTCACTAATGATATAAAATAAGAGTATACTTTATTGAAATGTATGATTATGATTTTGATATTAACTGGGAGCCACAAAATACCACATATGACCAATGTCTTTTCAGTGCCTAATTAGGATCTTTCTCCCTACAGTAAAATAATAATTTGATAACCATAAAAAATGTATAATTTTAAAAATATTCAGATCTGTATGCAGATCTTACATCTAATTTACTTACAAGTTGTTGTCAACAAGATCTTATAACATATGACTTCATATTTATTTTGAAAAACAATTTCAAACAGTTTCAGTAGGAAAATCAGGGTCCACAGAAGCCCACATAACATTACATTTCAAGAATAATATTACATGGCGATGAGCTATTTAATCAAATATCGTAAGTGCAGCTATTCCAAAACAATCTGAATATTTCCCTTCCGGGACAGTTTCTAATCCCCTCATTATATTTTGCTGAAAACGGGATTTTGAATCACTTTGAAAGTTACCTAGAATTTTTTCCAGAATCGGAGGCTACTTTATTTTTTTAACATTTTAGACCCTATCGAACCTCGAAATTTGAAATGGAGGTGAAAGAGTGGCCCTAAAACTCAGCCTTGTAAAACATCAGTTCGTGACTCAGACCTTCGTCATTATTGCCGTTGATAAAAACTTTCGTGTGTGAAAACAGGACTCAATAACCAGTGTTCAATCGAATCAAGGCAAATCGATATCGAAATAATCGAAAAATTTCGCTACGTTCTCATGTAAACAAAACCCCTTTCTTACGAAACAGACACCTCCAACGAAACGACAATCAAAGGTTAATCCAACAAGGGCACTACACATCACTAATTTTTTTCAAACATAATTTTTGTAACACAAATTTTTATTCACCACACGACACGCCTGAACTAAAAATCTACACTAACGAACAAAAAACACCCGCTATCCGAACAGAAAAAGCTGTTTACCGCACCACCGCGCGAGGATCATTTTTCCCAAATACTTTCTCGTTACTACTCCAAACAAAATCACTTTTTCCGATCGCGACACTCTGTCAGGTGCGAAAAAAACTTCGGTATGATTAAAAAAAGGTGGAACTAGTCATTGTGTGTGGTAGTTAGCCTAGCATTTGTTTCGGTCGGATACGGAGAGGCCAACTGAGACGATTTACTTACGGAGGAGACATTTGCTGCGAAATGGTATAGATAGTGAAAATTTAAATTGGCGTGATTTCGAGAGGGCAGGGGCGGACGGCCGTGCATTTATTTAGGGAGCACCGGCGGGTGGGTTATTTGTGGCGACAATCACGGTTTGATGGAGCTTCGCTGCATGACTTCTATTACTGGATATCCGTTTCGAGATAATGTTTCTAAATGTCGGGCTGGATTTGTCACAAAGGGAGGAAAATTATTTCATTTTGAACTGTTCATGAGGTTATTTGCCTGAACATTCATGTTTATACTGAATATTTATTTTTATTCATTCATTATTATTCATTCATTCATTCATTATGTATTCTTCAAGTGAACAAACTTAATTATGAAAATTATTTATCATTTTTTACATCGTTCAATAATTTGTTCAATATTGATATAATGAATTTATGAAAGTGAATGATATCAGTAAGTTTCAAAAGTAGACACACAAACATACATATTTATTTCCAGTTAATACACACATTATAACAGTAATGAGTTTACAATACATATTTTCATTTTACGAATGAGTTGAGCCAAATGGCGTATGTAATTATTCGTACAAAATTTTTTATTAAATACAAGATGGTTCAAATGCCTTTCTCTGTATTCTCTGACATTGTATTACATGCGTAGCAATTTCTTTAGAAACACTTTAAATTTTCGATTGGACAGCTCCTTGGGATTCGGTGGTAGATGATTTTTTCATAATGTTTATGATTTAGTAGCCTGACTACTTTATTCCTTGTCATATGCGTATGTATACGTCAGAAAAGTGTGTTTAAATATTTTGAATATGTACATACATTTCTTAGAGTAAATAATTTTTGTTCTTTGAACATAGTCGGCAAGTTCATCTTGGTTTCAAATCGAATAAGATGCGTATTGCTTTTGCTTTTTTCTACTCAATTTGTAGTTAAGGGAATCTATGTGGTTGGACCATTCCAGCTCACGCTCAACGTGAATTCCCAAACATTTTCTTGGACTAGATGGATTTAAATGAACATTCTCTGAAGCTAAAAAAATGTCTTTATCATTTTCGGGCAATCGAAACAGTAATTCACTGGTTTTGAAGAAATCAGGTGATTCAAGTGACAATGAACCATCAGTAAACCTTTCTGAAAAATGTTTTGCAAATAAACTGATTATATTTTTAATAACCCTCGTCAGTCATAATTCTGAACTCTTTTTTCTGTAATCTTAAGATTTTCACGGATCACTGAAGTTGGAGGAGTTATTAGGAGAGCTATAGCAGACCTAACACAAAAATCAAACAAAAAATGAAACAGTTCTAAACATACATCTAATTTATCATAACTGTCAATGCCGATGACAAGACAAAGATTGTCAAATAAACAATTTTATACAATGATTCTTATCACCTATTGCATGGGATTTTTTTGTTTTAGTTGAAGGCTATTTTCAAAGTTGATGTACATCCAAAGTAGTCTAAAATCATACTAAGCTATAAAACATAGAAATAATTTGACTTTGCCAAAGCTTGGAAATTGAAGCCAAGTTTTCAAAACTGAAAAATAAACGCTTACACAAATTATTTATTAGAAATGGCACTACTGTTTCTATCCAACTATTTTCAAAATCTCAGACTCGTTCATTTCCTTTAAATAATATAGTAGGTACATGCACATTTCACAAGACAAGCACATCATTTAATAATTTATATCGTTTCTATTTGATTTGAATGATCAAGTCATACCTATCAGATAAAGAGAAAATTGTTGTGGCAGAAAGTAGCACCAAATCTACGATGATAAATAGCAAAGTACCGCAGGGGTCAGTATTGGGCTCAGCATTTCAAAACTTTTCAATGACTATCTTGTTACTATAACAACCGGTGAAAGCTACACTGTTAGGTTATGAAAATGTTGTCTTCTCAATTAGTGATCGTCAAACGTGAGATTCAACGAGTATTCAACTGATTATAGCATAACCACTCAAAACTGATACCAGATGAAAATGATATACTCATGAAGAAAAACATATATAAACCAAGGCCAAGGTGTAACTGGATATAAAGATCGCCTACGGTAAAGGTGAGAAAGGCATCCTTTGGTGGTCGGGCAAATTTTTTTATGAAAACTCAGAGAATTTGCTATGCATACCAAAGAGTCTCAGCAAAGCTGTATGAAAGGAAAACCCCATGGCGAAACGGCAATTCATGTGGAATAGTGGAAAATTTAGAAGATAAACCAAGCAGTATATTTCAAAAGTCAGAGAGTGAATCGATATGCCAACTTCCTGATGATGCTAACTCAGTTAACGAAATGGAGGTGATAGAGTCATCTTGCTAGAGAATTTGCTATATACACCAAAGAGACTCAGCAAAATTCAATGAAAGTAAAACATCATGGCGAGATGGCAATTCATATGAGATAGTGGAAAATTTGAAAGATAAACCAAGCAGTATGTTCCAAAAGTCAGAGAGTGAATCGATAGGCCAACCTCCTGATTATGCTAACTCTGTTAACGAAATAGTGGTGATAGAGTCATCTTGCCAGATATGTTATTATACTGTTCTAGATGGAATAAATCTTATTTCAAGCGAAGGAAAATGGAAACTTGCCTATAAGGCGAGGATAAAAAGGTTCAGACCAACCATATAGGAAAAAATTGGCAGAATAACTGTAAATAATAGCAATTTCCATTGAAGTAATGTAAAGCGGTTCCAATGAGATTTATGGAGTAGATGTAGAAAAGATTTCAGGTTGTGACAATCAAGTTCTATCGAAAAACCGTAGGCTTTTGAAGATTTCTCGGCCGCTGACAGAAAAGTAATACAAAAAATTCTGTTAAAAAATTGATCTATCCAACTGTTCCCATTTTTCAAAGGAAATTCAGTTGAGAAAATACAGTGTTTCAATAACATCATTTTCATTTTCATCATTTGATCAAACACATTGGGTGAAATGAAACCACATTTTAAACAGTTAACCACCATCGAACTCATTTTCGTAAAAAATCCGAAAATAAATCAATTATTGTTCGAATTTTACCTGCTCACCTACAATCAATAATAGATAAAAATAACTTTTTCTCAAAATCTTTCTGTTTACGTAGAATCACCATTATTAACTAATCAAGTTATGTAGCAACCGATTCGACTGAGGAAGTAACTGTGAAGCAAAAGACGTTTTAAGTTAAGTGTTAATATATTTACTCAGAAAATTACAAAGGAAATGATCAGTAATCCAGATTTAGATGACTTTCAGACCCATCAGGACCCTGTTTGTTGTGTTAACCCAGCGCTTCGAGAGAGACCGCCAAAGAACTCTATCAATGTCAAAGTTATATCATTATCTGACGTTAGCCAGGACTTCCGATACCTCTGGCTTTGTCTTTTAGTTTCCAAGGCCCGAACTCGATGTGCCAGACTGTGAATCAGCCGGTTTGGCCTTAGTTTTACCGCATTTCAACGTGTCGTGATGTATTAGACAGCAAAACCGTGCTGCACGCCATCAAATCGATTCAAACGACCATCTTTGAACGTCTACAGGGTGTTCGATCACTTTGTTTCGATTCAAAACAAATTTACTCGAGTTGGGAAAACTAATTTTCATTTTGGATTTGTTTTAAGTAGATAGATCTATCATATATGTGTCAATCTATAGATATATTGATATATTACCTTTAAATGTCATTAATTACGATGATCAGGATCGTCACTCACGAATAAATCCAAAAATAAGAATAATTGGTAGAGCAGTGTAAAATATATCAACTAAAATTTAAACAAAAGATACACAAAAAATCAATATTATGAGATTATGAGTTCACACATATTTGATGAACTCACTCCAATTATAAAAACATTTTGGTAACAGTAATTTCTTCAATTTCGTCTTGAATGTTTTCATTAGTAGTGTTTTTGATTGATTAGGCAGCAAGTTATGGAAGTGAACTCCTTCCCCCATTATATAGTAGTAAAATGGTTGACAAAAACGAAGTTGACGTCTTGTTCCATATTGATGCATATCGGAATGTATCACACACTTTGTTTCATTTTTGTGTATATATACAAAAATTTTGAATGAATGAACACTTGTGGAAGTCAAAATCTATTTTTTTATCTCTACCTACATGACTCATCAAACTCAAGATCAAATATCATTCTAACTATTCCATTTTGATGTCTGAAAGCATGTGTCTTCAGTAAAGACACGCCCGAAGAAGTCAATATTTGGCGAAAAACGTGTTGCGTTTTTGTAAAACTAGTGAAAATCTCACAATGAAGTGTTTTTTGAATACGTTAGTTATGGAGTTTCATCAAGTATCGGCGAATTCCATCATATATTGCACTAGTTGTTGGCTGCGGCTTCGCCCGTGTAGAAGTTGGTAGTTGTAGTACTAATTAGTACTATGTTGCTGTATCGCTACTGTTCCAATGTTTTAACAGAATCAGAATCAACGAACTTAGGCGTGCGCAGCGTTATAGAAGAGTGCTTTCAAAAAATTGTTCTAGTGGTGAGTTACAGAAAAATTGATAGCCTAAAAACCTTCTTTATGAAAAATTACTCATACATGTCAAGTTTCATCATGATTGGTTGAGCGATGGTGAAGTTTATCACTTACCAACCAACCAACAAACATTACCTTCTCCATTACCTTTGAAATATTTTTTCACCGACCCTAAGCTTATTTTATATATCCCGACTGTTCATTTTCCAATATCTTGTTTTCAGAAGTACCGAACATTTATTAAAGTGAGCAAAAACTTTTGAAGGCTTCTTTCTCGTTATTTCTATAACTCCTGCAAAAATTCAGAAAGTAGGTACAGAACGTCTGTATTAAACTAATATTCAGCTTGAATTACAGAGATCATGTGACCCCTTCAATCAGTCAATTAAATTGGTTAACATATATGCAAAACAGAAGAAAATTGCATTTCTCCTGTTTCATTCACAAACTGATAAAAAAACAGCAACCCACTTATTTGGTAAACAAACTCCTTCCCAGACATCA